CCACGTACGCCGATACTCAACCAGAAGTTGTCGACAATTGGCGACCCTCGGCCAAAAACACCAGTCAAGCACCTCAGGCAGATGTCACTGTCTCGCGTCGCGAGCCCTCACATGCAGACCGTACACCGTCAGCGCCCTTGCTCCCGGGTGGCTCGCCTGCCTCGCAGTCCCGCACCTCCCGCTTCTTCCCCACAAGGGATATCCGACTCGAGTCAGCTGGCCCGGCTGAGCCGGGACGATCAACATCGCCCTCGCCCCCACCCCCCGATATGCTCGGCCATCCCGCATTTGACGGTGATGCGCTGCACCCCCATGTTTCTCTGCCGCGACCCCAACCCGTCGTCCGACTTCCTCCGTCAGCGGCCGCTTCCAACAACGGCCCGAGGTCAGGACCACAGTTTTCGTGGGCCAACCCGGCCCCTTACAGAGATGGAGCCCCTCCCCCTCCCCAAGGCGCTCGGCGTCCCAGCAACGAGTGGGCGCACTCTCGGCCAAGTGGGGGAGATCACAGCCACAAGAGCGCCGGACAGACTGTCTGGGGTGACAAGTTCCGCGACCTCTTCTCCGACCGAAAGGCCCCTTCAGCCCGCCATCCGATCGTCTCGCCGCCTAAGGCATCCGTTGTTGAGCCTGCTAGCAGGAGTGCTTTCGACGAGCTCGGCCGTCCCACCCCGCCACTGTGTGCTTTCCCCAGCACACCGGTCAAAGCATTGGGGAGGCCTCACAGGATGCTGCTCGGGGCTTCGCCTCTGCCAAGAAGCGGTTCCGCGACAGCCAGCGTTTCCTGACGACCAAGCCAGTCTCGGAGAGCTGCTTCGAGGAGCAGGAGATGGGCTCTCTGCCTCTGATCCGCATGCCGAGGGAGATGCCTGATGCAGCTTGGCACCCCGCGCCGCCTCCGGAGCGACCTGCGCCGAGACGCTTCAACATTATTGAGATCACGTCTGCGCCTCAGTTTTGGATCCCGCAAGACGTGGGACAGGGAGGTCCCGAATACCATATCTTCCTCCCCGGCATGAACGCGCTCAAGTCGGTTCCCGCACCAGCGCTGCGCTCCCGGAGCAACCCTCGACGCGGTTCCGGACGAGGACCTCGCGCGTCAGCGGCGCCCCGTGGAGGCGGTCTGAAGACGCGAGACAGCACCTCTAGCGATGTCCCGCCACCGACGGCGACACGCGGCGGCCGCGGCGGTTACCGAGGCCGAGGGTCAGACTGGACCCGACGCGGCACTCCCACTCACGCGGCCTAGGCAGCCGGGGAAGAGCAGGTTGTAGTCGAGAACCCGGGCACTTCAGCACGTGAGACTGAGACGAATCGAATCCGTGCTCCCGGATCTACGACGTGGCGGAAATCAAACGACTGATTGCCAATAACACCACAGATGCCCGCTCTGGGTTCGTGGACTGGGAGGCTCAAATGGCCTTCAACTCAACATACGCTTTACTTCCGATCTTACATGCCAGAGTCGCATGTGATGGACTGTTTGAGAAGACAGTCGTGTAACAATTTTGAATGAGCGCTTCGACCCCCCCGTATGGCCCCTATGCGCTACGAGGCCCGTCACACCTCGCGGCACGCGTCAGCGGGGACAGCGAAACCAAACGGATATCGTCTTCTTTTCTTGCGATGGGCGTTCGCCTGGGCCGCGCCTCCTTTTCTCCTCTTTTTTCTTCTTCTTCGTTTGATTCCAGCGTTTGCGGCACCACGAGCGAGGCGCGCCACTTTCAATAACACCAAACCGCGAGGGCAGCGTGCTGCCTGATACCACAACACGCGCACACATGTAGCAACGCACGGCAACGCAATGCGAAGGATGGATGGCAATGCTGAATTTTGTCTTTCGGGTGGCTGCTGTCCTGTCTTACACAGGGGCGGGCCTGGCTTGCGGTACATACGGCGCAGGATTAGGGAGCGGAGAGCAGGGGGTGGAAAGGGGGCGGATACGGCTTTTTGTGACGATGGATGAGCTGGATGAAGCGATGGAAGAGGGACGAAGGGTGTGAAGGTCTGTCCTGGCGCATAACGGTGCGTGCTGCGGGAGGACGCGGATGTGCTAGTTAACGAGAGCGGTTTGCGCGTGTGGCCGACTGGTCTGGTCCGAGTAGGCTAGTGGAGAAACAAGCTGTACTGCAGTTCTTTGGATACGTGTGATGTTCGGCCCGTGAGCGCGTGCTGTGTGCTTGGCTTTGACTTGTCTTCCTTGGTCTGGAACATGTCTTTTGCGACTTTGTATCTCTGTCTTCTCGCAGGTCTGGCTCGTGTCGCGAGGTTAATGCGGCACACGAACTCATGGTTGGTGTGGCCCGTGTTACATCTTGGCCATCTACGTTCTGGAAAGGGGGATTCAGCGTCATTGGAAGAATTTGCTTGAAGTGGACAGTAGGCACTACCACGTAAGAGACGGCAGTGTTGGGTGCACTCGCGCCTCACTCGTCCCTGGAGCGACTAGGGCTCCTCTGAGATGAGTCAATTGCACTGGCCTACTTCCTGAGATAGGGTGGCAAAGAATCAAAGTCCAAAGATGACTTGGCCTTGAGCTTAACAGTGTGCTCAACTCTGGCAGCACCGGGTTAGAGGACCATATTAGTATCAACAATCGATACCTACCACTCTGGTCTCCGTCAGGAGCGGCATACTTGATCTTGTGCTTACTACTTGCACTATGAAGACGGCCTTGGACCGCGCGGAACCTGGAGCATTATTTTCTCTATTTCTGGCTAGCTTATTAAGTTCCGAATGTATATTCGTCCTGTAGACTTTGGTCTATAACGCGTTCGATTTACTACCATCATTATGCAAAAAGGAGCACCATTTTTAGCATGACGTAGTCACGTAAAGTAGGAGCACGAATGCAGCTTGATAGAGATGATCTTACGGGCGTTCTAGCCAAGGCGAGGATGAGCTTCCTTCTGAATTCACACAGGTGAGGAGCAAGAACCTAGTATCTGGGCTGTTCTTCAGTCATCAGTTCTAGTATGACCCGCTGGGGCAGGATCCCGTGTACATTTTTGGAAGCGTGTGCAAGAGTCCATGCTAGCACTGGCTTGTTCGAGTGCTGGATCTGGAGAATAACTAGAAGGTCTGGCAGATACTGATGTCCGAGAACCAAGTGGCCGACAAGCACACTCCGAGGCTGGCAAGACACGTTAACCTGCATTGTTCGCAGGCAGCCACAATGTTCTGGACCACGGCAGTCTCTTCGACATCTTCTATCTTGATCGGGATCTACAATGCTTACCTTTCCTACACGCAGCGCCGAGGACCTATGACCAGCTCGCGCGAATTTCTCACATCCACTGACGACTTGCGCCTATCGGGCTCGAAACTGAAAATGGCGGAGCTGAGCTGACCGGAGCGGACAAAGCAACATATCAGTACGCCTGAAGAGGAACTCAAACTTCGACGACCTAAGCGGTGGCATCGTCATCGTGCCAGCCAAAGACTACGATGCCATAGGTACCTGGCCCGGCCGGAGCAAATCCGAGGTCGCAGAAAGCGAGCGGAATGATCCTAGAGCATCAAGTCGGAGCTATGATTCGAATAAGACGGCGGCAGTCCCGAGTAGCTAGTGCTGTCCCTCGTAACCGTGCTCCTGAGGTCCTGAGAGTCGCTCATGACCTCCGCGGATAGTATACCCCTCTCCTTCATTCTATATCGCGTGAGAGAACAGGCGTATTGGGACTACGTATGGAACCCTAGTTGCCATACCTAAGGTACCTACCTTACTTACGTAGGTACATACCCCCCTTGAAGATGGTGTTGATTCTGAATCCTGCGATACGGAATTTGCGTCACTTTTCCGGCTGCGCTGTTGTTTCCGTCCCTTCTACCGCATGATGGATTGCTTGTTATTCACAAGTTGACGCGGAGGAATAAAATGACTTCGTGGCATTGCGGTCGGTGCCTTGGTCTAGCATTTTCTGTTCATCCTCCTCGCTCGGGAAACCTTCTCTACTGCTTCATAACCTTCGAGCTTGAAGCATTGCTCATTCTCTTGGTGATCGGGAAGGCCTACGTATTTAGTCCACTTTCGGTAGGAACGACAATTATTGCTTATTTGTACTCGGAGCTGCTTGCGCCAAGTGATCAGACTCAAAGTGAACCCTGCCGTGCTGCACTGAGACCCTACAGGCGCTGGACTCGCAACTTGTCACAGGTTTGATGTATATTGTTGCCCATTGACTACATTGCGTATTTGCGATAGCACTGCGCTTGCTAGTCGATACGAAAATTCATTCAAAGCAACCAAGAAAAGCTGACTCACCTGGGCAGTGCAGTTGAGGTTAAGGCATCAAGAAAAGCATGTACTCGGCCAAATGCTCTCGAAGTCACAATTTGACTTGGTCGCCTGTGACACTACACCGCTTCGTAGTCAATATAGCATCGTTTCAAGAGTGCCAAATGAAGCCTACATCATAGAAATATTCGCAGGCCAATACAGCACGACATGGAGACGTTATGAGGTCGACTTTTGAGTATCTCATCAGATCAAACGTACGGCGTACATGTACACGAGGGGATCATTAAAAGAAGCTTTCTTCTCAATTCATCACTCGTTCTATCGTCTTGGGCAATATCTCCCAAACCACGAGCCACAGCGCTCTCCCAAACGCCATACGCCCCCCATGCATCCAACCGTCCTCATACTCATGACACAACGATACAGCCCCCCGCTTAGTACTCCTCCACCGCGCAGTTGGGATGCAGGACATAGACGACCGCCCCGTCACCCGAGGTGGCGGCATCCTCGCCGTCTTCAGCCAGCCCGGACCCCCGGACGGCCATGAGGATGTTCTCCTTGACCATCTTCTTCAGCACGAGCGCCGCCAGCGCCTTCTCCCGGTGGTAGTCCTCCTCGCCCTCCATCTGGTCCTCCGCCTGCTCGAGGTACCACTGCGTGAGGGCATCGCCGTCGACGCCCTCGCCCGCCCCGCCGGCCTCGTCGTCGTTGACGCGCTGCACAAAGAGGTTGACCATGCTGATGTACTTTTCGTACGTGATCGTCTGCTTCTTCTTTTGCGGCTCGCCAGACGTCTCGCCCATGGTGCCGTCGCCCTCGTCGTCCTCGTCATCCGCCGGCTGGCCCGTGGCCCTCGCGCGCGGGGGGGC